TGACTATGGTTGGGATGTTACTAATGCATGATATGGAATATCTTACACAAAAATATTTAGGAACTAAAATTTTGATGACCTTTTTTAGCTCCGCTGTCGACGAAGTCGAGCAGAGCTTATAGTATTACTGATTGTCCGTCAGCGTCCGTCGTCGCCGTCGTCAACTTTACATTTACATTATTAAATTTACAAACTGTATAGCTGTGAAACTTTCTAGGAAGGTACCTTGGGTGGTTCTCTCTCAGATTTAATCTTTTCGTGTGGATATGTTCAATTGTCTTATTTATAGACAATATTTTTGTCATTTTTAGTCAAAAATGCTATTTTCGACTTCTTCTTGAAAACTGCTAGCCAGAATGCTTTGATACTTGGTATGTAGGTACCTTGGGTAGACCCCTCTCGGATTTGTTCATTTTGTGATGATATCTTTAATTCTCTAATTTTGGTGAATATTTTTGTCATTTTTGGTAAAAAGAGATATTTTCGACTTCTTGTTAAAAACCCCAAGTCCGATTGCTTAGATATTACATATGTAAGTACTACATGTGGACCAGTCTCAGATTTGTTCATTTCATGATGATATCTTTAATTCTCTGATTTTGATGAATATTTTTGTCATTTTTGGTAAAAAGAGATATTTTCGACTTCTTGTTAAAAACTCCAAGTCCGATTGCTTAGATATTACATATATAGGTACTACCGGTACATGTGGACCTCTCTCAGATTTGTTCATTTCATGATGATATCTTTAATTCTCTAATTTTGATAAATATTTTTGTCATTTTTGGTAAAAAGAGATATTTTCGACTTCTTGTTAAAAACCCCAAGTTCAATTGCTTAGATATTACATATATAGGTACTACATGTGGACCTCTCTCAGATTTGTTCATTTCATGATGATATCTTTAATTCTCTAATTTTGATGAATATTTTTGTCATTTTTGGTAAAAAGTGATATTTTCGTCTTTTCTCTAGACATAATAGGACTATGATGCACACAATTTTGTATTCATATCACATTCAAAATGGCCGACTATTGGCCATTTTATTTCATCTTAGACTCGCTCTGACCGATCAACCTTATACATCATATGTCGCACATATGCACATGTATTTGTTTGATCATCTAATTCAAGATGGCAGAATGGCAGTCATTTCAACGTTAAAAATTCAACAATCAAACTTTTACTGCCATTTTAGAAGTGGACCTCATATGCATGAAAACATTTTTAAGTTCATACTCTTGATGACCTTGATGAATATCATTTCGTTTTGTTTTTTCAATAAGATTAAAAATGGAGAACTAACAGCCTTTTTATTTTAATAATTGATAATAATATTAATTCCCAGGGATTATGTAATACAATTACATGTTGATTTTTTCATAACTTTTTTTTTTAGACTGCTTATTTTGGTCATGTAAAGAATATAATGGACTATTTTAGCCGTATTGGTTTGACATGTGTAGAACATTATAATCCAGCAGATTTTGTTAGTAAGTATTCTCAATTGGGCTTCCTGTAATTGGTGGATTTGATTGTGCTGCCTTTCTCCACCTTCTAGTTTTCAACTTCAGATCATAGCTTTGTAACATCGTCTGCTGAAAGCCTCCAGAGATGAATAAGAAAAAACAGCGTCAGCAGGTGGTAACCATGGTAGTTGAGTCATAGCATGATGCATGTACATGTACATGTTTGTTTCAAGCTTCATTATGATTGGACTGGTCACCTTAAGAATGGTACTTATTCAAAATGTGTAAATGGTATTTTTTCAAGGTTTCCTCTATCTGACTTGCAACATTTCCAAAATGGGTCACATAAATTGTTTACACAATTAATTAATTCGTATAATCAATGGTAACTAAGGGACGACCTCAAAAAGTTTACAACCTACAAAAACTATTTTATTTTTCAATGAATTCAAAAAAATTTTGAGGTATTTGTAGTTTGTTTTTTTCTATCCAATCATGGACAGAAATAACAGAAAATGAAAAAACAAACATCTAAGACGAGAAAATGGTTTGGCCCGAGTGTAAATATGTGCGTCAAATGAGGTGCATTTGTAAAGTCGTTTTACACCCACCCGACAACCAACTGCTATGCTACTGTCCTATTATCAATTTGTATTTAATGGTGAATGTAGTCTGACGCCATGGTCAATATTTATCAATTAAGTTTCAGTGGGGGGTAGGGGGTTTGGGAAAAAACTAAATGAATTAAGTTTTTTATCCTACATTGAACTTTTGATGTTGTCCCTAATGTGTATAATGTTCAACGTTCAATTTTAGTGGAAAAGCTTAAAGGCACAGAAGATGAAATCCGCTGTATCAAGGAAGAAGGGAAAAAAGCTTCATGGGATTTACTGGAAGATATTAAACAAACAAACCCGTTGACAGATTCATTATCTCAAGGCAAAAACATTGACTCCATAAATATTGATATTATTCCTGATGAAGAAGTTCTTGATTCCAAGAAAAAAAAATGGCCTACAAACTTTCTTGAACAGTACAGGATTCTGACTGTGAGGTGTTTCAAACAAGCTAAGAGTACAATACTGACTAAATCTAATTACATAGAATGTATAATGGTATCTATTATGTTTTCACTAATATGGTGGCAGTTGGGCTTTGAAGAGGAGGATATAATAAGTAGAATGGGACTGGTAAGTACTTTTATTGCTCCCAGCTAACACAAGTGTGCAGATATAATGGGACGAGTGTGCAGATGTAATGAGACGAGTGTGCAGATGTAATGAGACGAGTGTGCAGATATAATGAGACGAGTGTGCAGATGTAATGAAACGAGTGTGCAGATATAATGAGACGAGTGTGCAGATGTAATGAGACGAGTGTGCAGATACAATGAGACGAGTGTGCAGATACAATGAGACGAGTGTGCAGATACAATGAGACGAGTGTGCAGATACAATGAGACGAGTGTGCAGATATAATGAGACGAGTGTGCAGATATAATGAGACTAGTGTGCAGATGTAATGAGACGAGTGTGCAGATGTAATGAGATGAGTGTGCAGATATGAGATGAGTGTGCAGATATAATGAGACGAGTGTGCAAATATAATGAGACAAGTGTGCAGATATAATGAGACGAGTGTGCAGATATAATGAGACGAGTGTGCAGATATAATGAGACGAGTGTGCAGATATAATGAGACGAGTGCAGATATAATGAGACGAGTGTGCCGATATGAGACGAGTGTGCATACATAAGATAGTGTGCAGATGTAATGAGACAAGTGCACATTTTTCATGAGTTTTGCATACTTAATGAGTTGAATGTGTATACTTATAATAAAATGGGTGTTCATACATACATGTAATGTGCATACATTTGGCACATATTGTACAACTGACTTTACACTTCTTATTAGACTTGAATGCATACACAGTTCTTGACAATTAAGAGATTAATTTCCTTGCGTTTCAGTTCGTATTTTATCTTGTGTATTGGTGTTTTGCAATAGCATTGATTGCAGTAATAGTTTGTAAGTATAACTTTTCTTTAACACAGTTCTTTTTTTTATGCGCATGTGGTTCTCAATACATTGAATTCTAAAATGCTGCAAAACAAAAATGTATAGAATTTAAATTCTTTAAAAGGCCTGTCATTATTGACTAGAAAAAAACGGATGGGATCTGATACACCATATACACAACAGTACTACTTTCTGCCCACCCTCCCATTCACTTTCGTTTTTCATTTGCTTTTTTCCTCTCACTTTGCAACTGCTTTGACCGGATAATTTCAACTTTATTTCCAAACGCACACACCCATAATAGGTGATTTTCCGTTTCGATCTTGCATATTGCTTGAAATGCACGTCCGTCTGTCTGTCACAAAATTAAGCAATTTGATTTTGAATTTATGATGCTTTTTTATAGCTCAATGTCGTAATGGCGATCCTTGAGAGGGGAATATTGTGTTGAGATACCCCTACTTCATAGAAATTAATCATTATCAAATGTGTATAACACATTATTAAGCGTTGAAATACCGAAAAATTTGACAAACCCTGTGTGATGTCATTGCCATAATATATTAAAATATAAACTCAGTGGATGTGATTAGTTTTGGATGGAAATTCATGCATATTGTCTACATGAATCACAAATTTTAGCAATATACAAAGGTTACCTTGAAGAATAATTAATGAAATTGTGAACATAAACATGACGATACTAGGGTTAAACCAAAATCTTGTCTAATTCGCTCTTGGTGGAAATACATTTACCTAATTTGCATACTAATTAATTTTCAGCTCATTATAACATTTAAAATATTTCCTGCAATATTTCTGTTAATGTTACCAATTCCAATACTTTAGACCACGTAGACAATTTCTGGTTAACTGCAAGATCCCTGCATCAAGTATTTATCAAAGATAAAAACAGGACAGAGATCATACATGTAGTATCAGCGTTATATCATCATGTAGGATTTAACAAACACGTGTCTTTAATAATATGCTATACACAATTAATGATGGTCAAATTTGATGAAGTAATGATATCTCATCATATTCCCTTTTGTGCTATAAAAAAAGAATAATTCAAAATCATTCAATTTTTGCTGCATCTTAACGGAAAATCATCTATTGCTTTCATAATGTGCATCTAAAAAAGCAGAGCTATTTCAGCTGACAGGCTCCTTGTTTGATAGGTTAATCTTAAATTTTTAATTCATTTTAGATTACATGTATTATTCATTTCATGTTGTTAATACCCTCAACCTTCAGTGCGCTTAAACTTTCTTCGACAGGTTGTCTGATTCTAAAAATACTTCACATTTTGAAAGCGAATATTTATATTTAATAAAAGCAAAATATGTATTTTCAGTTCCGTCGGAGAAAATAGTGATGTTCAAGGAACGTTCAGCTGGCATGTATCGGTTATCAGCTTTTTACCTTTCTAAGAACACAAGTGAACTGCCATTGCTGATTATACTACCAATCATTTCAACTCTGATTGTTTATTGGAGCACTGGTCTCAACCAATCCGCTTCAGCGTTCTTTTCCTTTATGGCACTGTTGCTTCTAACTGTGTTTGCTGGCCAGGTAAGAAGAAATTATAAACTTACTTTGTTGAATATTGTAAAATATTAGAATTATAATTTGTTTGTCATTTTTGTTTTGGTTGCTTGGTTTTTTGTTTTGGTTTCTTGTTTTTATTTCCCGTGTGTGAAGCACACAATAGGAGTCTTTGCAGTTAGTGTGTCTGTATGGGTGCATGTGTGGTACCAACGTTGTGACGACTTCAATTTAACTTTACACCGACTTGTGATGACAGGACCTACATTGTGACGACCCTAACTATTTTCATAATTTATATTAATATTTAATCAAATTTAAGTCGAGTTTGCATAGCTTAGGTTTAGTAAAGGGGGAAGATATGGTTCAATTTATGTTAATATTAGTATAATTGTACCATACCTACTACCTTTACTAAACCTAAGCTTCGCAAACATTTCTATGTTCATGCAGTCACAGGATATTCAACTTTTATTTAATTAAACTTATTAATTAAACGCAATTCTACTTTGATTTGTATTGTAATTGAGTTCAATTAAACTCTAATTAATATGTAACCCTATATAGGAACGCGTTTTAATCGAGTTCATATCGCAACTATATTAAAAGTTAATTCAACTATATTGAAAGTTAATCCAATGTGTGTCGTTACAACGACGGTTTGATGTGTGTGTCCATCTGTTCCACTGATATCTCAATAACCATTCTCTGGTTTTTGATGAAAATTAGTGCACAGGGCTAATGCGCAGATTTGATTAGGTTTCGGTGAAAATCCTTGCTTATTAATTACTTAATTTGCATGATATTAACTGATTTTTAGCTGTTCAATGACTGTTCCACTGATATCTATGCTGTATTTGATCTAGTAGAAACACATGTGCTTACTTGTACAAGTAAGACAAGTCTATGGTGAAAAGATATTTCTGTGATTTTGCTTTATGTGTATTGAAGATGTGCTTTTAATATTAAAAATTATTAAATACAGTATTCCTTATTTGTACTTCATGCCTCGAATACCTTCAGCACACAAGAGTTCTTTCTAAGCTTTCCATGATAGATATTAAGCTTACTACTCTTAAAATGTGCACACAGGAACACATACAGGATGTTGAAATGTTCTTCAGCTTGTAGAATTTTATAAAAGAATTTGTTTGGTGAAGTTAAAAATGAGAAGAAGTCTACTAGCAGTTAATGTATGCAAGGTTCAGACTGTGCTGTCTGTATCGTATATTCATGAAAAACAAGGTTTCTAGGCTAGGTTATTTTCTGAGTCAGAAAATTTTACTGGAGTATGCCAGTCACAATGAATTTTGTGAAATTTCTTCCATTGTAAAAAGAAAATACTGTAGAATACTTTATATTAGCTGGAATTAATTTTTGCTGAAAAGGCTTTTTGGCTGTTTTGTATGGAATTTATTTTCACTGATTTCTGACAAGTTGAATGTAAAGTATAGGAAAAAAGGTATATTCGCTGGATTTTATTTTCACAGAATCATTCCTTAAGCGAAAATTAATTCCAAGTGAACATGAAGTATTTTACAGTTACTGTAACAGACTTTCATTAATTCTGAACTATATTTGCTTTATTTTGCAGGCACTTGGCCAAGCAATAAGTATAGCATGGTTAGATTTTGAGAAATCGTTATCCACTACTGCTATAATAATCCTATTCTCTTTGATGCTGAGTGGTTTCTATATTGATGATTTTCCAGTCTGGCTTGAGTGGACAAAATACACGTCTTTCCTCTATTATTCCTACAATGCATTGCTGATAATTGAGTTTACCGACAATGGACCATTCAGGTAACTATGACAACCAATCTGAATACTGCATATTATTGGATACATGTTTTACATGTGTTCAAAATACATTGATCTCAGGACAGGAATTCAAGAGTACTGTTCTAATTCATGAGTACACATTGTAATGACATGTGGTTATAAAATCACCAAGCAAGGTACAAGGCGAAGATGTTTAAATCTGAATATATTCATTGTAACCAGTGTGCTTTAATATTAACAAAAGTGTGCATCGATAAATTAATTCACTGTTGCTATGACAAATAATCGAACAGTACTAATAATATAATAACTTTATTACACAACTAAATCATCAGAGGATTTAGTAACTTAAAGGTAAAGAGAATAACAAGACATAAATAAACAAATGTAATAAAAACAAACAATAAAACTGAAAAAATACCGACTAAAGAAATATCAAAATAAAAACTTCACTATTCTAGCAACTTTTAATCAGGGGATTTAAAGATAGTATCTTTAAGGTATAGTGAAAGGACTTTTGCATTTTTCATTACCTCAAGAAAAATATCATCTGATGATTTAATTTAGACTTGAGATCACAATCTTCAAAACGTCTTTTCCTTTCACTTTTAAAGGAAGGACATTTAAAGATAAAATCTGACTATACTATTAAAATGTGTCTTCATTTTACATAAACAACGCAAACTGTTGATTACCTGTTGGGTTGGGTTTGGTAGTCTGTCATTTCATGTTAATTCAGTGGAACTATCACGCTCAAATACATCACTTATTTTATGTATGACAAAACTGTCACTCAGCAAATTTCAACAAAACTTGAACTCCATTTTTAGCTTCGATGACAGAGAAGAGCTGTTATTATCTGTTATCCGTCAACAATTCTATTTTTGACTTCTTCTTGAAAACTCAAAAACTACTTTTGATACTTGGTATGCAGATACCTTGGGTGGGTCATGTTAGGTTTTTTAGCTGGAATATAAAATCCAAGTGTAGAGACAATGGCAATAAAAGATTACGGGAAAGGGGGCAAGAAAAGTATGTATTGAATGCTAACTACATTGCAGTGTTCTCCCCAGAATATCTGGTCCGATACTGTTCCTTTTGAATATAGATGGAAAAGATATATAATGCAAGATATATATAATAATTAGTGATTCACTACTATTGGGTTAAAAAATTATTTACGATCGTTCAAAATTAATATAGTGGTCATGGCTGTCGGTTCAACCCAGGACTGACCTTCACCGCTATTGCGATGCCACGAGCCGAAAAACCGAAAGCTGAATTCCCCGCGTTTAGCGGATTCAATTCAAAGTGGCTACACTTTATCCATTGATTAGGCATACACTTGACAGCAACGGCAAGGAAGATATAAATTTTCTATTTTATGCATTTTGGCTACACAACGTGACAGAAAGTCCTTCTATGTTATCTATTATTTGTAAACAATCTATATGTATTTGCACACGACTCCCAGTGTCTTCTCCTCGAGCAGACAGTAATGTTTCACATTCGTTTTTCCAGTTTTAATCTTTCTCAAATGTTTATTTTTGTTTGATATTTTTAAACAAAATATGCAGTCATTAAATAATTAGTAAATATGCAAGCTTTTTTATTTTTTCCTAACAAGGACAAGGAAGGCAAAATGGTGGTAGGGGTCGATCGCGATCTTCGATTTGTATCAAAAGCACGACTCACAAATGAGGTATTTCTTCGAACGATAATTTGATAGCAACTAAACAAATTTCAATCGTTGGCGTGTGTAAGGGCTGAAAAACAGTGAATAATTCAAACATTATTCAAAGACACAATAATTTGGACATATAAACACTATCGACTGTCCAAAAAGCTATTGATTTAATGAATTTATAATTTTATTTTGTTAATTTATAATTATGATGATAACAAATATGGTTTAATAATACAAAATAACCTGAAACTTCATTACAGTTGTCTTTACAGTTGACTTGAAAAACGTTCATGTTTCCCCTTTCATTAATGTTTGTTGATGAATAACATGCATATATATTAGTCATAATCAAATTGTAATTTAAGTTCGAAACTTTTTTCATCCAAATTGCGAACAGTAAACATGGCAAGACATCTCATCTGTGCGTGCACTCCCTGTCAAGTGACATATTTGGTCCAAATTTCACATCGTGACTTGTGTAACGAAAACAGTAGTGCTTGGTGCAGCAAATATTCGACTTTAATTATTACATGTTTTGTTTTACTTTTATAGTGTACATTAAATATATAGTTAATGCAATAATTAGGCATTTTGGATTCTCAAAAATAATTATTTTATTGTTAATGTTTTGTACTAATTTTTATATATTTAATGAAATAAATATTTTTACTAGCAACTAAATTGTTTTGTCACTCTATAATAAATAGGTGAAACCTGATACCAGTAATACTAGTAAAACTTTTGCCACCTTACTCCACCAGTCACTGTCCTGAGGTTGCCTCACCTGGCCTCTTAAACTGAAGAAAATTTTAATAAAGATGTGCACATCTGACAAACCACAATGACATTGACCTAAATTTGATAATCAAACTGTAGAACAGCCCCCTGTCCTGAACATGTGAATATTAAATACTAGTAACATTTAAACGCCGCTTTTAACGCACTTGCCCTCGTCCTGACCCGGCGCGTTCACCTATTTCAACAAAAAGTCAATTTATTTCCACGCGGCTGTCATTTATTTAGTAACTATA